GCAGTGTACTCAAACGTCCTGATCTCATGTTTCTATGGACTTTGTAGTCACTCAGGTGAAAATAACTGAGCTGCTTCCTTAAAACCAATGTGGGTGTACCTGCACCACGTAGACAGCAGCAGTTCAAGAAAGTGGGCCACTACAACCACCTTCTCAAGGGCATTTAGGGATGGGCAACAAATGCTGGCATAGCCAGCATATCCATTTAGGGATGGGCAACAAATGCTGGCAAAGCCAGCATATCCATTTCGCATGAAACTTTAAGCAAAATGTAGCTGCCCACTAGTGTCCAAGATGTTACACCATGAGGATCCGTGTTCTAACCAAGTTTCTGAATTGCATGTGGTCAAAAATCAAGAGGCAATTGAGAACATATTGCACTATAAGATATCAGAGGTTGTCCAAGGAACTACCAGATCTCACAATAGATTGAGTGTTGTGAATGAGATATTAGAGTTTGTGCATTGCCAACCCCTGGTCTACCACATTCTAATATAGTAACATCTTACGTTAATGTCATTTTTACTTCCATTTTCCAGCAGGAACACTGAATAGTTATGAGGCATGGATTGTACACCTTGTTTTCCTGGACTTAGTCCATGGTTAAAAGACCATGGTCAATTGTTGCATCTGTCTTTCCATTGTGGTGAGGAGAAACAAAATTCACAGGTCATAAATCAAACTAGCAACGGTAAAACTCAGTACTTCAAAGGTTGCACTTAGAAACTAGCCTGCAGATGAAACATTACACTGGATTTTATGCCACCCTGTAGCTGTTATTTCCAGCATCCATTAGTTTAACAGTTAACAACAACTGAATTCCTTAATTGCTCATTTACACAAACCAGTAACTACTTAAACTGGAGTGAAGTATTTGATGACTGAATATACCTCAAGTCTAACATAAATTTAGAATATATACAATTTTACCACACACTTTGTCCGCTATTTTCCCCTTCTTTCTAAAAATGTTTTTGGCCTGCAATACCAATGACGAGGCAGTATTCATTGCTTGGCCCAGTTACACACAAAGTATTAACAGCTAATCAAATTTGAATTCAAATGGAGCTCAAACCAGGTAATGTAGCAGATTATTTGGAAATAAACATGCTGGTAGTGCTGGAGCTCCATTTCTGAGTATACATACTGATCCAATTTGCGTTGTGAATTTTTGTTTGGTTTTTGCTTCTAGGAATTCAGGCCCCTTACTTTTCCAAAATCAATTCGTATTTGTTGTCCTACATTTATATTTACCCCCTTCCCCAATTGTACCCTCCCATGCCCCACATTAGCAGGGGTATAATACAATCTGTTTACTTCCAATTATGGTGAGTTCTGTCACAATCTCCCCAGAGGTAACACACAAGTCTGAGAGAGGCCTAAGGAAAGTTGGGACCATTGAACTTGCTGTCTCATCCGGTTGAGAATATAGGTTTGACTGAATACATTCAACTCTTTCCCTCCTAGTCCAATGGTGTACAATTTTTCCTGTGTGAGTGCATAGGAAATGTAAGAAACAGCATATACACTGTCAAAAAAAAACCCAAAGTTGTGCAGATCCAGGAAATCAGAAACAAGAACAGAAATTGCTGTAGTTCTGAAAAAGGGTCACTGGACCCAAAATGTTACCTCTGCTTTTTCTCCACAAATGGTGCCAGACTGCCTGAGTTCTTCCAGCAATTTCTGTTTCTGAGCGTAAGGTGCTTCATATGTCAGCTGACACTCTCATATTATTCGCTGATGTTACACAAGGAAACTTCTTTATGCTAAGTGATTCCCCTCTTCTGTGTCTTAAGTGAATACTGCAGGCCATCATCAATCCCCTTGATTTTGTTTCTTTATTTCTATTGTTGGGAGTTTAATCTACCTTAGAACAGGAAACATAATCTTCAGTAAGAGATTTTATTCATATTATGGGCCTGTGTTCTGTTTACACAGTTATTTCTCCCGCACATATCTTAATTGAATTAAAACACCCATAAATTATCGTGCACAGATACTATGTTTAAACTTGTTATTGATAGAAATGAACAAAGCTGACCATCTTCGGCATTTTCTTTTTCATTATTAATGTATGAAATTTATCCTCTGTGGAACAGTCATTCCCTTCTACCTTGCCAGATTTAGAATACTTAGAAGAAATACCTCTTGACTTCTGTATACTGTATGTCTACAGTTTATTCCAGTTGTCAGTTGGAAAACACTGAAGACGGATTTTGGTACATCTTGCGACAAAAAAGCAGAGTAAAGTTACTAGATCATTGGGCTACAATGACCACATGTCTAGTTCTGCTAACTTGTCTCATTTAAGTGGAATTTATGAGCAGAATAAATTCTTTTTGATGTACTAAGTGTTCTTAATGTTTTTAATATAGTATATTGCTAACAGTTGAAAAGATGTGAGAACATTTTCAACAGACTCCAGTCTAACTGCTCTGGGCAGAATATTGAGATGTTTGGTAATGTCAATTTCATTTATTTAGGCATATTTATTGGACTGATGCCAGCACAAACAGAATTGAAGTGGCAAAACTAGATGGAAGGTACAGGAAATGGTTGATTTCCTCTCAACTTGACCAGCCAGCTGCTATTTCTGTAAATCCTAAACTTGGGTAAGTAAATTGTTAAAACCATCAGTTCTTCAGTGAGATTGCGTATATAATTTAGATAAATATTCCTTGTGACATCAGTAATTTGTTTTTATTTAAAAAAGCTATTTCTTTCTGAACAAATATTGTCCATGGAAATGATGAATTTAATCTTTGCCCATTTGTTCTGTACAAACTTCGACATGACTTTTCTTTAAAATGGAAGGGGGCCTGAGAATCACCTCTGCAAATAAGCTATGGGATGGGGTATGGGTGGGCCGAATGGTTTGACACTGGAGAAAGGCTGTAATCAAAATAGAGGAAAGTGTTCCCGGGCTGAAGTTGTCAAATTCAACATTGAATTCTGAAAGCTGTAAAATGTCAAGATGGAAATGAACTACTGATACTCCAGCTTGTGTTGAGTTTTGCTGGAACACTGCAGTAGGCCTAGAAAGGAAACATTACCACGATTATTCTACAGAGAACAGTGGAAACCAAGGCCAAAGAGCTCACAAAGGTTCAGGGGACACCAGTTTCAACCAGCCTGAGGGTTGTGTATTGGAGAAGATTCAATTAGACTTCCAGGAAAGGTCTAGGCCTGAAACGTCAGCTTTCCTGCTCCTCTGCTGCTTGGCCTGCTGTGTTCATCCAGCTCTACACCTTGTTATCTCAGACTTCCAGGCACGTTGACTTCCAACTGGTGCCTGAGGACATGCACTTTACAACTCCCTGACATGGCAACATTAAAGGGTGTTGAGTGACCCTATTGGATGCTTTGAACCCTGCTCATGATCCTATTGGCCAAAGGCCACAGAATACTCAGGAAAGTCTGGGGCAGAGTGGATAAAAACACTCACCTGCAGGCCACCCTATTGGTGAAGACTCACTGCAAGACTCCGAGCGTAAGACCTAGTGGCAACCCAAGAAGACACAGGAGAAGATCCATCCTGATTTGCAAGACCCACCTTCGTGGAAGAGAGTGAATCCTATGGTAGAGAGGAAGAAGATTCCACTGACCCAGTCAAACACATGGATTATTGTGGGAATTTGGGAAATGCTGATGTGGTGCTCTTTATAAGGAATATTTTGTTAATAGATGATTATTTTGAACCAGTAGCCAAATTCTCTGTCCCTTTGTCTGACTCGCCAACAAGAGCACTTGGATAAAGTGTTTTTAATACATAAACTGATTGAACTGTCCAAAGCACAGACAACATTGACACTCCTAGGTAGCCTTTAAAGATAGCTGCTTGTATAAGCTCCAAAGTTGAACTCTACCAACCTTGATATCTCAGACATCCAGTGTGAGCCTGAATTAAGAGTGCAGCTGCCTCACATGATGGCCAGGATTCAAGTAAGTGAAAGAGGGTGAAGGTTGCCAACCAGTGATGTGGCCATAAACCAACTGCTTATCACATGAGGAGGACAAACAATGTAAGTTAGCACAGGGTCTTAGACCCACAGAAAAATAAATCTAGCACAGGCTAGTACAGGATCAGAGACCCACAGGAAAAAGAGGCAAGGAAACTGAATACAGAGTTACAGGGCCCACAAGGTATCGAGAAGCCAGCTATTGAGGTGTGGGATCCATGAGGGTACAGAGGAGCTACAGTAGGATCAGGGATCTATGGGGTAAGAGATTGTGAAAAGTGTCAGGGGTCCAGAGTCAAAAATCATAACGCAGCTAATCTAGGATCAGGGACCCATGAGAGAGAGTAGTAGTAGATTCAAAGGAACAATTAAGAGAAATGGCATAGTGCCCAGACTGGAAATATTAACAAAGTACTTAAAAAAAAAAAAGAAGTGGCCCGAGTGAGCAATATTGAGTCCAGGATCTCTGGGACTGAAATGCTGGGAGGTGGTGTGGAAAGCTGAAGGGAAGCACACTATAGCAAAGCTATAGCAATAGCCAGTTGCATGGAGTGGCTGAGAGATAGAGAATGAGAAATGTTGAAGCTAAGTAAGGAGCTGGAGGAAGTGAAGAAGGAACTGGAGAAAGTAAGAGCCAGAGCAGCAGAGCAGAGAAACCAGGTGAAGAGGTACACTTGGGACAGTTTCAGGCCCAGTGCATTAGAGTGTACCAGGAGGCATAGCGCGCCATCACAGATCAGAATGCAGCCCAAACAGCTGAGGACAAGTCGACTGAGAAATGCAAAAAGGCGCTCAGAATCCTGTACCTTGCTGAAGACTATTTGATATGCAAGTGCGAGATTGAAAAATTAAAGTTCCAACTTTCTTAGCAAAAGGGAATGATTTGCGACAATGGAATTACATGGGGATGGTGATTATGGGACATACTGGGAAAAAAATGGATGATACATCAGGAGCAGTGAAAATTGGGAACCTCCACCTCCCTTTCCGGAGGAAGTAGATCCATTCGTGCTCCCAGGATCTTATCCTGCCCTGACGAACCCACTGACCAAAACTCCATCAGGATAGGCAGATCCTGTTACTTATACAACTCGTTTACAGTGGTGCAATTGGCAGAGATAGCAAGAAAGATTCCTGTATTTGAGTCCGTAGCTGACCCCTGTAAGTTTTTCACTAGCATCCAGCAACAAGGGTTTCTCCATGAGCTCGATGATGTTGAGGAGGTAAAGTTAATGTTAATTAGCCTGAGCCCTGTGATCCATTCTGCCTTACCCAATCCTTAATGTGGGAGGAAGGGAGCTGCAGGCCATGAAAATGATAATCCTCGCTGCTGTAGGATACGATAGTGAGACTGGGTGGAGGGATTAAATAAGTATAGGCAGTGAAAGAGAGAGGACCCAACTGCATTTGCCAGGTGCCTGTGGACACACTTCACAGGAGTCTTTGGTAACCTCAATCAGACTGCGCTGACACTGTAAAACAGGGTAAATTGAACCTAAACTCTTGCCTTGTGCACCACTGAGGCAGTGAGGGAAGCCTGTGAAAATTTCGATCCCACAGAAAACACTCACACAGAACACTGGGTGATATTTGGGATGGCCCAAGCTTGGGAGAATGATTCATGGTCGAGAACACACTGAATCAGCTAAGGGAGAAATGCACTGGGTAAAAGCCCAAATGTCAGTCATATACAGAGGAAAGAAGGGGGAGTTATTATCACAGCCATCCACCTCTGTACAGCCACCCTGCAGTGAGTGATGGGAATCAGCGGCTGGAAGGTCCAAGGCAGCAGTCACCATCTCAAGGGAAATGCTACAATTTTGGGCGCACGGGTCACTTTGTAAGGGACTGCAGGGTACCCAGGCAGTTAGCACTGTCATAGGAGTCAGACTGAAGACTCTGGTCCATATTCTGAAATGATCACAGAGAGAAACAACAGTTAAGTTGGTGAGAGAGATTACGCAACCAAATTTAGTGGAGGAAATCTCACTGCCTAACTCCTTATATCCCCATTGGGATACACTCCCGAAAGTGTGACAGAGCCGTACCTCTCCTCAGTGGGTGTAAAGCATCAGGATGGGATAGCGGAGGATGGCCCTTGGTAGAGTTAGAAGACCACCCAGTGTTGACTTTTTATAGAATACAGTGGGGCCCAGAACAACACTTAACACATCCCAAGATTTTGATAACACATGATGCACTCGTAAGAAAATTCTGAGCAGATTCACTGGACACCTACAGGAGGGGGCAGAGACAGAACTTGTAGAATTTAAACTGGGAAACATAGTCTGCCGTCACTCAGCAGTGTTGATGAATCTGGATATGGGAGGCCGAGCATAGTTTCAGCTTGGATCTTATGAGGAATTTATCTTTTGTCTGAGCTCGATGAGGCCTCAGCAGAGATCACAACAAGCACATACACACAAAGAATTTGTACCGTGGGGAATTGTGGATTAGACCCACTGAAATAACTGAGGACACAACAGCACAGGCGGTTCTCACGGAGCACAAGAGCACGTTCACCAGTAACAAAAATGACTGCTCTTGCATAGAGGGTGAGGTAGTGATAGACAGACCAGACCAGAAGTCACAAAGACATTACATTTTCCTCAAGCAGGCAGACGTGAGGTGGTTATTAACAGTTTGTTAAAGCAAGGAGTCCTATGCCAGAAACGTCCACCAATAACTTGTCGAAATGGCCAGTAAAGAAACTGGACGGCTTTTGGTGGCACACCATTGATTACAGGGAAATAAATAAAACCACACCAATTTCAGCACTGACAGTAGGGACTAGCCCCAAAACCATGTTAGGGCAGGCCGCACAGGTAAAGGATATCACTGTGCCAGACATTAGTAATGGATTTTGGTCCGCCCATCCACTGGCACCACCAATATAAATTTGTCTTCATGTTTCAGTATCAGCAATACACATGAACCTGCTAGTACTGGATTTTCACAATTCTCTGTCAATATTTCATCAGGAAAAACTTCCCTCCTCAACAGACAGCATGTATGTCTGCAACAGTTTAACTGTCTTCCTGCCACTGTGGGAAACTACAGGATTCATCTTGTCAGACAGGAAACTGAGAGACTGCTGTGTGCTCTGTTTTACGGAAACGTGGCCCATTCCTGTTATACCTGACTGTGCCTTGCAAGCTGAGGGGTTCTCCATACATCACATGGACCACATGGTGTCCTCGGGTAAGGCAAAGGGAGGTGGGTTATGCTTCCTGATTAACATCTCCTGGTGCTGAGATGTGATGACCCCGGCAAGCCACTGCTCCCTGGGCCCAGAATACCTTACAGTAAAATGCTGTCCCTACTATATGCTGCACGAGTTCACCTCCCCCATCCTGAGAGCAGTCTACACACCGCCCAAGGCGGAAGTGAAGAGTGCCCTGGATGAAACTTAAACCACCACAAGCACTCTGGAGACAAAATTCCCTGAGGCTTTATTCATTGTAGCTGGCGACTTCATCCAAGCCAACCTCAAGAGGGCACTGCCAAAGTACCACCAACATATCTCCTGCCCCGCCAGAGGACTGAACATCCTGAACAACTGCTACACAACCACCAAAGATGCCTACTGCTCCATCCTTCATCCACGTTTCAGAAAATCAGATCACAACGTTGTGTTCCTCCACCCAGCTTAC